TGCTGTCCGTGTTTCCACAGTAGCAAAACCTGCTATTTTTAGATGATACCCCGAGCAAGTGCACTCAGACTTGTTTGTATGCATTCAGAACACCGCGTGCCGTCTGTTGCTGGTCATTTTGATTGCAGAGATTTCAGTTTTATTTTCTGACTAATGTGCATAAAGTTTTTCTTCCAGATACATGTGCCCCCTCCCTTTCTGCTGCGTGTTTTTAGTAGAAAAGCATGCAGAAGTGAAGCGGATTGCTCTCTCCTTGTGTGCAGCCCTCAGGCTCAGGTGCTTGTCAGTGCTGGGTTCAGACGGACCTTTTCAACAATTTGTCACGGTTGCCTCAGCCCCTGCTGCGCCGGCACGTGGCTCACACACACACACACTGGCTCGCTCGAACACAGAGTGGTGTGCTGCAGCCAGCGAGGTCATGGTGGAGTGCAAAGGCCTTGGCAACAGCCTAGCGCCTGGCGGAATAAGCAGCCTCCCTAATGAGATGGGAATGGCATCAGTGGGGCCCTCCAGAATTTCAGCAGGCAGGCATGTGGCCCTGGAACGCCCCTGCCTCCACTCCACAACCTATTCATTAGACATTAGAGCGTGCACACACACACACACAAGCTACATATGAATACAGCACTACACACAGATTGTATATGTGTATTAGTTCTTGAGTGATTGGCAGGCTTGGTTTGGTGTGTATGTGAACATCAAGGCAGAAACACCTGCTCGTGCGTTTGTTTGGACGGTTAACGGACTGTAGCTGTAACTGAACAGGCTACGCTCACCATGTGTGTAATGACTCCAGTGCAAATGGCTTCAGGAGTCTGCTGGAAGATCTGATTTGTTTCATCTGCTATAGTACAAGTGCCCAGCCTATTGCATAAATTTGCTGTTTGCCCTAAAATGCAAACTGGAATGTGTTGGATCCTATATATATATATATATATATATATACAGTATATATATATATATATTGTTTCCACAAAATTATGTTTTCAATGTTTTCAACATTGATAATAATCAGCATCAAATCAGCATAATAGATTTCTGAAGGATCATGTGACACTGAAGACTGAAAACTCAGCTTTGCATCACAGAATTAAATTCGATTTAAATGAGATTTTAAAATATATTCAAATAGAAAATGGCTATTTTAAGTTCTAATAATTTTTCACAATATTGCGGTTTTTACTGTATTTTGATTAAATAAATGGTGAGATTTCTCATAAAAACATTTAAAAAATATTGAAAATAACATTTTATGCATTTTAATTTAATTTGTGTGTTTGTGCTTCTGAAGTCACAGTCACACAATAGCTTTGTGTGAGAAACCGACCAAAATTATTTTGATAAGCTATTTCTTCTATTTCATTTGTTGTTGCTGGGTAATTTCAAAGCCTGTGATGATTTGGTGTTATGTAGATGTGATTTTCCTTTTTTTTTCTGGTCTTTTCTCTGTTTGTAGTGTTCTACTACATCTCCTTTTAATTTATTTCCGCTGATTATTTTAGCTGCCTATACAAGGGAAAAAGATGGAACACAAAAGGGAGACGATTAGCAGTATATTCACACTGCTGCTTTCCATGCATTAAAAGCATATACTGTCACCAAGACTTGTACATTATAATACCCACAAGTTTATGCTCATTACAGTTTTTTTTTTATTAACTTTTGTTGATTAGACTTTATTCAGCAAGACTGAATTAAATTGATCAAAAGTGACAGTAAAGAAAAAAAAAAGATGAAATGTGTCGTCAGACTCTGTAGAGGGTGGAAAATGCACAGGTTTAGATGAAGCCACGAGGTCCCTGCCCCGACCATTCAGGCGCTTCATTTTAAGACAGCCAAAATAAAATCAATACAGCCTTCGACTGTGAAAGCCCAGTAAATCAAACTGAAAATCAAAAATAAATTAATGAATTACACAACTGAAAGGAGAAATTGATGTGGGCAAAATTCTATTTTAAAGTACACTTGCAAAATACTGTAAGGACCAGGGTCCCGGCATTTGTGGAAATTACAGGATAATATAATTTGTGATTTCTAGACCTTGAAATGTCAGGGAATTGATCAAATATTAAAAAGTCTTGGAAATGTCTGTAGTGAATATAAATTTAATTTACTTATGCTTAGTTCTCAAATATTTAGTTGGGAGTCCAGTCTCACAAATATATTTTATCCAGTAATCACAAATGACTAGAAATTAATTGATAAACAGATGTGGGAGTCCTGGACAACAGTCTGATCATTGTTTTTCATATTTTACTGTCATTGATATAATATTGTCATTTTTTTTGATAATTATTTTTCATATTTTCTGTTTTCATTTTCATTTTAGTTCTAAAGTTTTAGCACTTTTGTTGTATGTTTTTGTCATTTTTATTAGTTTTTGTTTTTATAGTCTGCCTGTTTTTTTTGTTTTGTTTTTTTTGTTGTTTTTTTAGGTTTAGTTTTTAGTTGATTTTGTTGTAGTTATTTTATATGTCAGCCAAACAAACATGAAAGAAGAAATGTTCCCTTGACAGTTAGCTGAAATAAAATAAGTTTAAGGTTTTTAATATTTTATTTTATTTCAGTTAATGTTTATTTCAAGTTGGTAACACTTTATAATAACTTTCATCAATAAATCAATAACAAACATTATATAATGCTTAGCAGATCATATTCACGTAGCTAGAAATATGAGATAATGTGCTTGTGCTATGTTTACTAATGTACTTTTTAAAAATTACCTAATGATCAGCAGATCATTATTTAATGTGAATTAAAATGCTTACAAGTGTCATTAAACTTTCAATTCATAAGATCATGCACTTTTTAAAAATCTTCAAATGATTTTGACAGATGGTTTACAGTGATTAAAAGCTTCACTAATAAATCATTAACAAACATTATATAATGCTTAATGCATCATTAGTTAATGTTTAGAAATGTTATTAAACTTTCATTTCATAGGATCATGCACTTTTTAAAAATCTACAAATGATTTTATCAGAAATTATACAATGATTATAAGCTTTTTTGTTAATGTACTTTTCAATGCTAACAAATGTCATTAAACTTCTGTTCATATTACCTAATGCTCTATTTTACATTTACAAATGTTGTGAAAATTTAGCTTAATTAGTCATTTTAAGCACTTAACTATTCACTGAACTATTCATGTTATATTATTCATTAACTCATAATCACAGTCTGTAAAGGTCATATATTTGGTCTCCATTTGTTGTGTTGACTTCTACTATTTTCACATCTTAAATCATTTATTAATCATTTGTTCATGTTTTTGCAGTACTCAATCTAAAGTGGAAACTATTCATCATTTGTAACACACATTGGCATAACATTTTTATTGCCTCAACACTTATATTAGTATAATATTTCATTAAACAGGGTATTCCTTGAATCAGACATCAGCAGGAGAAAACAAAACTTTTTTTTTCAAGAAAAAACGAATGCAATATAAACAGATTGAACCGTGTTCCCTTATAGTAATCAAACTGACCCCTCTGCACTTTTGACCCCTTACCTAACCCATAAACCTACCCAAACCAGTCCCTAACCTTACCCATATCACACCTCAACAGCAGCAAAAGTGTTCTGCATTAACACAAGCTTTTAATCATTGTACATCATCATCTGTTAAAATCATTTATAGATTTTCAAAAAAGTGCTTGATCATATGAATTAAAAGTTTAATGATATTTGTAAGCATCATAATTTACATTATCTGTTAATCATTATCTAATGTTTAATAAGTTTAGTAAACATCAACAAGCACATTATCTCATGTTTCTAGGTATGTGAATATATAACTAAGGATCCGTTAAGCATTATATAATGTGGGTTAATGATTTATGAATGAAAGTTATTATAAAGTGTTCCCTGACATGTTTATGGTTTAAATTTTAGTTAACAATAATAACACTGTTTCTCATACTACAATCACGATTCTGTGGAATTTGAATATTTCTTTCTTTCTTCATTTCCAGAATGACAAAAACTCTTCTATTTGTTTGGTTGGGCATGCAGTGCATTTTATAGAGTTTATTTACTTTTCTTTTCTTTGTTATTTTTAGTAACATTTTTAGTTTTGTTTAATATGTTTCAACTTTATTCTGCAAGCGGATGCTAAATTTGCCCAATCCCTGAATGCAGCAGTGATGATGTAGTGCACTTTTCAGGACACGTTCTTTGTGGGGTAATTTTGCAGAATGATGCTCTGACCGTTTTGATTTCTGTAGTATCGCCCGTTTATTTCCTAGAAAGGTGTTGAAATCACTGTGTTGACTGCACAGGGAGCAGCTGAACTCAGAGAGAATGAGAATCTCATCCGTTAAACATTTCAAACTCCATCTCTCTGGCTTTCTGCATCTCAGGGTTTCTTGTACCTCCACCAAACACATCAAAACTGCGTCCCCAGATTGTTGTTTTCTTTTTTTCTTCTGTTGGCCTCTCAGTCTCTTTTGTTCTAATTCCTTTCTCATGTTCATTATTTTTTGTTCTTAACCTCAGTTGTCATGCCTGTTTCTTTTCTTTTTCTGTTTCTTCTGTTTGTGCCACCAACTCCAAATTCAATATGTATTTACTAATTAATAATTTACCCATAATTGCAGGCTTGGGTTGGAAAAAAGTCATTTTACTGTAGCATTTTTACAGTCTTTTACCGTTAAATTCACGGTCATTTTTTACAGTGTATGTATACATACATGAAATACAAGCTCTGTTCCAAACCCTAGAGAGTTGTGTAGCTAGACAGCATTTACAACAGAATACTTATGTTGAATACTTGATTCTGACTGGTTCGCACACACACACGCACACATAGATCGGTGAAACTAAAAGCGTCAATTACGTGTCATGTGACCAATGTTTTCTATAGTTGATTCACTTCAGAACCATTTTATTGTCCACATCCATCTGAAATCAAATATTTTAAATATTACAAGCTAATTTTTTGGTGATTATTTTTTCTAACATATGTAAATGCAGCTGTAGCAAAACTAACATTGTAATAATTATATAGGAAGTCGGTTTTTAATGGATTTAATACCTAATAATTCACCCGTTCTCCTTATTTTACAATCTGACATGAAGTACAGTTTCAGGTTCCAGTGTAGACATAGTGAAGCCATTGCAGTGGCTTCAGCACAAAGTGGTTTTAGGAGATAACTTCTTATATAGACATAGCTCACTGGGGTTTGGAACAGACCCATAGATGACAGTTTGGACAGGCCAGACAGACCCGTTTAAAACACCAGCTCATCCTGTAGGACTTGAGTTGTTTTGTGGGTTACAGTCTATGATGCTGCTCCATGTTTCACCACCATCTCACCCATGACAGCAGGCAGGCGTTGGCCAGGGATGGTTTGGGACATGGATTACCTCTGGGCCAAGCTGGACTGTAAGACTTTTCTACCTGCTTCCTCCATTAGGCATGTGGCCCCACACGTCTGTTACACAAACCTGTCTTTCTCTGTCTCTGTCTCTCTTTCTCCCCCTTTTCAGTACACTCTGCATGTTCCCCATTTTATGATTAGTGAATTGAGCACAAAGAGTTTCCTCCTTTTTCGGAACGGTTTCTTTTTAAAAATGTTATACGTGTGGAATGCAGTGCAGTGACAAAGATTCCATTAGTAAAAATTGTTTCCTCTGTTCCAAAACTGAGTTTGCTACCAAGTAAGCAGCTACCTTCCAAGATAGCATCCTAAGCTGAATGGAAAGATTTATTTATTTAGTTTTTAATTTAGTAGGGCTGCATTAAATTGATCAAAAGTTTTCCCTATATAGCATAAGAGACTTCTTTCAAAAGCAAAAGAATGGTAGTTCATCTTTAATGACAGCATATATTACTGACCATCTTTTGGAACAGCCTTTGCGTCAAACGCATGTCTGTATGATGCCTTAAAATGCTGTCTAGGTAGGCAGCTCACTAGGTTTTGGAACAGAGCTTTGAGGTCAGGGTCAGCTATGTGTGAGGGAATAGAAATGTATGGTTGTATCCATGCAGGGTTTAGTCATCTAATTGAGTTGAAAGTATGTTTTTGTTTAATATCATAGTTGGTAGACAAGAACTTCTCTGAAATATAGCAGACTAGTGTGTCTCATTAAACATGTACAGGTATGAAGGCCAGCAGCTCTTTACAAATATCGTTTACACTAATACAAAAAAAAAAAAAAAACACTAAAATATGTTGTTTTGTTACTTGTATCATCACCTTGCATCGTTGTGACCGTTATTCCAGCGCAAACACGAAACGATCACCTTTGTTCAGAAATAACCTCACACTGAGCCTCGTGCTCTGGTTTGGGCCAAAGTCATTTCAGTTATGTAACACAAGTTTAATGCACATATTGTGAAAACTTCTTAAAAAAGAGCTGTTAAATCACAGGTTTGTGTGTTTTGCGCCCCGCAGCTTTTCTGTTGTGTTCCCCATGTTAAACGTTCCTTCATTCTCAGAAAACACAAAGAAGAAGTGAAGTGGGCCAGTGTGAATAGAAATGTGTTTCACCGTCTGCTTGTGTTGACAGCCACAGTCTGTCATGATCACTGTATGTTGTGTATGTTAACATTTTCTTTGTGTTGCCCTTCCTTCACCCCTCAGGATTAACATCTAACAGCCATATTTTCAACAGCGTTCTCATTCTCTCTGTCACACAGACACACACACACACACGTGACGGTGCGCAGCTTACGTGTTGCTCTATTGTCTTCTCTCCCTCTGTAGATTAAGTGTGTTACAGGTGTCAGTACAGTAACGGAAGGTAAGAGTCTCGGTCTGAACGGAGCTTGCGTTCTGCCACAGAGACCCCTCCCCTTTCCCCGGCTCGTCTACTCATCTTTCCCCTCTTTATTTCCACTAATGAGCTGCGTCTGCTCGGAGCTTTTAAAGGAACACCAAGGCAGAGCTGCATTGGGGCTGGCTGTTCTGAGCGCGCTCTGATTATGGACGCCGGCGGAGTAATCGTAACACAGGAGCAGTAGTCTCCAGCCTCCTCTCCTGCATGTCTCTGCTTTATTCTCTCTTTTTCCCCTCTTTTCTCCTTTTGCTTTGTCCTTTGGCGTGTGTCTGTTTGCCTGAGGCCACATCTGACACTAACACCTGCCCTACTGGATAATGTCTTTGTCACTTACGCTTTTGTTTGGATTGCTGCAGGGAGCCAATGGGAATGAGGGCCACTTACTTTACTATATATATATATATACATATAAAGGCCAAACAGGAAATTAAACCTTTTTTTTTTTTCGTTTCAGTTGAAAGGTTTATGTTTCGATGCAAATATATATACTGTATGTGTATATATATATATATATATATATATATATATGTTTAAAAAACATCAGGTCTAAGTAGTAAATGATAATAATAATAATAACAATAATAAATTATGAACAGGTGTGACTAAGCTTTTGAAAAGCGTTTAAAATGTAATTATATATTAATATAGTTATAGTATAGTTACTTTGTGTTTGGCTGCATGTTATATTTGTATATATAGTCTTGTTCTCACACTTTTCTTTTCACAACAAACACAATGCACTCTTTTTTATTTTTTTATAAAAAATTTTTTTTTTTTAGGGCGATTCACAAAATGAGAGTTGGTGAAAAAAAAAAGTTTAATTCCCAGGGTTTGCATGATTGATTTGATTCACACACCTCACCGTGCTTCAAATAAATCTGATGATCAGACGGTTAGTCAATCACTGTGATCACGAGCACTTCTGGATCTTTATGCTCTCCTCCCGGCTCAGCTTCAGTGTGGAAACGTAAGACGGCCAGTCATCTCTTGAAGCTATAAATGATAGAAATCCCTGGCACGATACATAGTTCAGTCAGCATTAGAGAGGAGGGACCTGCGGGTAAGTGTGTATCCTCTCTGCTGGCATCCCGAGTCCTCCTGAGATGTTCTCTGTGGACGTGTGGAGCAGACAGCACCCCGCGCTCGTTTACTCCTCCCCGACTCCTTTCACACGCTGAGACCGTTGTTCTCCGCTCTCCTCCCCCTCTTTCAAAGACGCCCTGGAGTGGAGGTCCTCTCCAATGAGCGCATGTTCCCCACACCATCTGCTCGCAGAAACTTGAGATGCCCGTAAAAAAAAAAGAAAACGGTCGAAAAGAAAGAAAGAAAATAGCCAAGCAGATGCCATCTTGACAAAGCAGGAAGCTTGTTTAATTTAGATGCTTTCTGGAGTACCAGTATTTCAGAATGCCAGCAGAATCCATATTTTGCATGTCTTCTTTTTTTTTTTTTTTTACAAAGTGGAACTGCTGTGTAGAATGACAGTTATTGCAATTAACAGTCAAATGGTTGAGGGCTAATTTTGAGTTCTCAGCTTTTTACTTAATCTCCCTTCACATCCGTCTCTATCAGAGGAGGTTTCCTGCTTCAGTAATGGCATGCTATCAGTTTGAAAGCAAGCTTATTCATGTCATTTTGGCTTATTCTTCACTCCACGTGTAATATGTCCTCCCTTCCCAGGTTCCCTCAGCTGCAGCACGAGTGCTGACCTCAGTGTTACTGTGACGACCATCGAGTCCGGCGACCAGGTCTCGCCCACTATACCGCGCGCCTCTAAGAACCGGGTTTCCGGAAAGCTCCGCCGCTCGGCCAGCGCCATCAGCAAGTCCTCTAACTGAACACTTCCACCGGCCGTCAGACTGCATTGTGAATGAATGTATCATTTGACTCTAATGCTTTCCACCTGTTGTTTTTTTTCCTTTCTGAAGCCGAGTCGCAGTGAAAGATGCAACTGTTGTCGCAAAATGATGTAGCTTCACCCTGCCGTGAAGAAAAAGAAACTGCAATTATGCTGAAGTAAATCTTCAAATGTGAAATTCATTGCAATTTTCTAAATAATGCTGCATTTGGAATGGATTTACGCATTCGGATCCCAAAAATGTCCTTACGACCGAGTAGCAAATGAATAATACGAAACATTTCAAAAACCCTGAGGCTTTAGCTAGTTTTTAATACTCTCATTGTCCAGTTCTTTGAGCTTTTCTTCATGTCAAACACTGAAAACCCAATCACTGATGCATATGGGAGAGACTTTTGTTGTTGTTGTTGTCCCGTCCCAGCACTGAGACGCTCTGAAAGAATACTGACACTTTTGAATCATCAGAGTCTGCTTTTACTGCTTTCAGACCGTAATCAGTGCAACAGACTGCAATGAAATCACGATTTCTTTTGTTATTATGATTTTCTTTTAAGTGACTCGTTTGATTATTTTACGGAACTGATTTATGCAACATGCTGAAGGCTCCCGTTGTTTGTAAATCTGTCGAGGTGTAGCACAAATGTGAGCTTCTTAATTTGGGAATTGAACGTCTCCCATTCCCGTCATGTAAATCTACTCCAGCATTCCGATGTTTTTGCACTCACTCAATGGTGGTCGATGTTAGTTCCGTTCTTCCCTCTGTATTTGGATGTACATTGCTTTTATTTTGATTTGATTTGATAATATATATATTTGTTTCATGTTGCGTGTGTGTGTATAGATATATATATATATATATATGGAGAAATATCTGCCATCGTACTATTCCTGACTAAACGGAGGAAACGCCTCCAGCGCCTCAGGTGAAGCTGATGCCTGCACTGGCTGTTTATGAAGGGAGCTGTTCACAGTGCCTGTGTAATACCTGTCCGGATTTTCTGAGTTTTGGTGTTTTCTTTGTGGTTTCTGCCATCGCTTAATTGATCCTGCACACTTCCTACATGGAGAGCAACGAGTCGTACATTTCACTGGAGTAAATTGAATGAGATTGTCTGCGTTTTGTGAGAGCTGCTTTTGTCTGATTAGATGCTGGATGGGGGTTCTTTTCCAGCTGCTTCCCCGATTCCCGCGTGCCTCTCCGAGTGCCCTTTACTGTACCAGCAGCATGCCAGCGCTTCTCTCTCTCTCTCTCTCTCTCTCTCCTGCCGCCCCTCTCTGTTCCCGTAGAGACCCGGCCTGGTTGCCATGGAGGCCAGGTGTTACACACGCTGCAGGCTCCGCCCAGGCTGCAACAGGACACATGTTGCACTACTTTGCCTTACCTGTACACTTGTCTTTGTTTCGCTTCGCCTGATACTTTTTCTCTCTTCCAAATGCTAAGTACCATGCTCTGAATGAAAAACGCTGACGAATGTATGCAAACCGACAGCCCAGATCCCACCTGAAATCTCAACTGAGATCCTGCAGATTTGAAATGGGCTTTGGGTTGAAAATACTGCAGCTGGCCTAACTTCTGTTTGATTATGACATGTTCATTGTAGACTTTGTTGTTAGCCTTGTATATTGTCTCTTTTTTTTTTTTCCTTTGAATGTTCTAAATTCTGAAGGGTATAAATATATTAATGCCTGTAATATAATCTTTGTATAAGACATTGAAGATAAGATTTTGTCATGACTTGTTAACATATCAGACTGTTTTTAATAGAAGTAATCACTTTATCTTTACTAGAAATGTGAAGAAATCAAAACAATTCATTAAATCGATTTGAAGTTCATGTTTATATGCGTTTGGTTGGTCTGTTTTTTTTCTTCTCATTGTTTCATGATTCGTGAGTAGTTGCCGTGTCCTGCAATTTTATATTTCATTTAATCTGTATTTCTATTTTTTTACAATTAACAGCATTTTTACAAATTTAACAGATAGAAAAAATAGTGTCATAGAAATAAGCTCTGGGAGAAAAAAAAAAATATGGTGCAGGATTTGCTGAAAGAGTTTTCACTCTGAAATTGCTAGTAAGTTTTTAAAATATTTAAACATGAAATTTTGAATTATAGAAATTGAAATATGATTTTTTTTTTGATAAAATATTTTCCAGTACTGTTTGTTTCAATTACAAAAAAAATAAAAAATAAATTTGGTGTGTTTTTATTGAACTGCAAAAAGGGTGGTTAAAATTTTTTTTATTTTTTTTTATAAAATAGACACACATAAATGTTTACCTAAATGTTTATTGTTGAATAAAAAGTTAAATAGATATACTGTTTGTCAACTACCCATATCTCCTCTTTAAAGAGATGGTTCATTATCTGTCATTATTTTCTTTCTTTTTTTCCCCTGTGGAACACAAAATGTACAAATACCTCCTACTGTGTTCATGAAAAGAAATGAAGTCACGTTTTGTCATTATTAAAGCCCTGTGTTTTGTGCATGAAATACGACATTGATTTTGACCTCTCGCTTTCCTGCTTCTGACCTGGAGAGAGACTGTATGATGATGTGGTGTTGTACATGCGTGTCTGAAATCATCCGTGACTCTGTGCTCTAGTGAGAGAATGCATGGCCATATTGTGTGTTCGAGCGAGTGGGTGGAAGTGATGCTCGGGGTTAGAGGTTGTTCTGTTGCTGGAGCCGAGGGAATATTGAGGGTAACCTGAACCCCCTCCCATCTGTCTCCCCTGCTGCTCCATGAGCACAGACGCGTTCCTCACCGGAGTACAGGTGCACACGCTCCAACACCTACAGCTCATGCAGGTGGCCTCCAGCACACTCGTGTTTAATTACTGACTGAGTGAGTGCGCGCGCACAAAATCTGACCAAAACAGCAAGTATGATTTTTCTTTTATTATTTTCTTGCCAATTGCACTCTTAAGCATGCATGAAGTAATGGTTCTGCATAAACCGAATCAAGAGTAAAATCATTAGTGAGAAGCAGATGACAGCCGTGAAGTGTGAACTTTACACATCTGCTCAGAGGATGCATTGGTTTAAACAATTGGATGCTCATTTTGCAAACTTCACCCTGATCGTGCCTTTGTTATTTGATTTGTATCCGCTTATTTTATCCTATACAGTGATTTATCATGTAAAAGCAACACGATGGATTGGTTGCATCTTTAGAGTCGTACGAAGCAGGCACAGATGGATGTGAATGAATCGATAATGCCTGTGCTGAAATGCCTTAGGGGTTAATGCCCTTGTACATTTCTGAGTTCATTATTACAAAGGATGTTGTCACCCTTGAAATGATTTCAGCTAAATTTACAGTGGGCCAACTACATTATTTCATTGATCAAGCACAGCTTACATAATGACTTCAGAATGACCTGACCAATTAAAAATCAATACTTCTGCCATTTAAAGCATGGAAAGGGGTTTGGGATAGAAACTGTAAAGGTGTGAATTGCCAGAGGTTGGCTTTATATCATCTGAGCATTTGACACACCTGTGGAATGACAGTTGGTCATGCTGCATATTGACTGCTGTAGTAAAGTAGACTGCACAAAAACATTTTTACACGTCATATATTTCTGTTAACTTTGTATAAATCTGTAGATGAATATGGGATAGAACTTTTATGTCTTTATGGAGTAACTGGCTCGATTGGAATTCCAATAATGTGAAGTCCAAACGAAAGGTCGTTGCCATTTACAGTTCTCTAAGCGATAATAACTGCCTATATTATTTAAATCAACTATTGTACAAATGATACACGGTGGCTTTGTGTGGCAAATATGCACGAACAAGAAGCGTTTTCATTTTGAAAATATTTTATTTGAGTAGACAACACGGACGCACATATAAAGCGCTAGGTAGCAAACATTTAGGAAAATAAACTGTACGTAGAAAAAGATTGCATCTATAAGAGCTTCACGTTTCAAGAGAGCGCACAAAACCCAAGACATGATCTCCACACAACGATTTGACTGCAACATGTGACACCCAATAAGTTATACAAAGCCATTGAAAATAAATAAATACATAAATAAATAAAATATTACGAATAAACATTACAATAATTTTACATCATGATAGTAAGCTGTAATTGTGTGCCGACATTCAAAAACTATCATTACACTGAAGAGTTCTTAAGGCAGAAGTTTGATGTATTTCTCTAAAGGCATTTCTGGCTACTAAAGGGAAACTTTTCAAGATTTCTTGTAGTTTTCGGTACGAAGAGAGAGCATTTTCAGTCCCGTAATTCACATACTAGATTAAAGCTACAGACGTGAAACGCACAGCATGTGAATTCAAGGCAGAGGTACATGAACATATCTTAGGTCTAGGAGCTATTACATTACCATGTGTGCAAGGGTTCTAGAAAAATACCTTTGTAAGGACCAAACTAATACTTTTCTCCAGACTTTTCTAGCGAGGGATTGGATGAAGAAAACAAATCGTTCTAAAAGGCCAGATCGGTGTGGGTTCTTCTTCAGCAGGCGTTACGCACGGGCATCTGGAGAAGGATGACTTGCCTGTTTTCGGTGGGGTGGCATTTGTTGATGTGCCTGGTGAGACCCGGCGAGCTGTAGAAAGTGGCGGGGCAGAACTTGCAGGGAAACGCCTGGGAGTCGACGTGCAGCAGGCGCAGGTGTTGCTCCAGACTCGCCCGGTTCGGCAGTTTCTCTCCGCAAGCCGGACACGCGAGACAGTCCGCGGAGCTTAGATTGAGCGGACCCGGGCTTTGGCTGTCCTCCGAGGGCACGATGTCGGGGCTCTCTGTGGTGCGAAAAGCCGGTCCGAGGATTTGATTTTGGAGCGCTTGGTGTCCCAGGATGTGCTTCCTCAGGTAGGCTCGGCGCTTGAATCTCTTCCCGCAGTGCTGGCAGTCGTAGAGCCCGTCGTCGGAGCCGGATTCTGACAGACCCGGACTCGGGGAGTCTCTGTCGCTGGGGAACTCTTCGGGGAAAGGTTTGGCGGGTTGGAGGGCTTGTTTGGGCGCGCTCGGCACGCGCGGCTTGTGCCAGCGCCGGTGGGAGGCCAGGTTCGCCGGACAACTGAAGACCTTCTCGCACTCGGGACACCTGTACTCCACCCGCACTATCCGGGAGCACTTGTGCTGTGCCAGAGAGAACGGGTCCGAGTATTCTTCTCTGCAAAGCTGGCAGATGACCTCCCCCAGGGGCTTGTTGGTGTTGCCCGAGGCCGCTCGGGGCTTGAGGTCCACGGGCCCCTCTTTGATTCTCAGGCCCAGCACCGGGGATGTGGTTACCTCGTCCTCGAAGTTGAGTTTGCGTATGGCTTTGGGTTTCTTGGCGCTTTTGCTGCTTTTACGCTCGGCGGCGTCAGAAGAAGGTCTTTTGGCGCCGGTTCTGATGGCAGACGCCGTTCCGCTCCGGTTACTGTTGCTGGTGCCGATTTTTAAGTCGACCGGCGCAAACAGAAGATGATGGTCCAGGCTGGTGAGAGAGGCGGGAGTCGGGAACGATTCGGCAGAGACGGGCGAGCCGAGATTGAGACTCCGCTCGAAATATTTCCTGTCATGCTCCTTGCTGATGGGTCGGGTGGGGCTGTACAGGGCTTGGTACACCGTCTCCGGGTTGCCGAACTGCACCGGCTTGGCGCTGTGGACCGACACCGGCGCCTCTGCCCCGTCCGACGGGAAGGCTGAGGTGATGCTGTCCGGCATGGGGGCGCTGGGCGCAGGTGGAGACGCGGCGATTTGACATTCTGGAGCGGATCCTCCATCCTCATCCGAGCGTATCCGGTACGAAACGAGCGCTGCTTTCTTGTTCCTTTTCACCAGGAATCCTTTGGGCATGTCGGCGGATGGATGAGGCGAGGATGACAAGGCACAACAAGACGAGATCCAGAGCCACAGACGCGCCGTCCTCCTCCCTCCCTCTGAGAGATGCTTTTGCTCCTCGACGCATAGCTGCACTCTTTTTAAGCTGGAATGATGTTATTGTTCTCGCCCCTAGTCGCTCCGGTCGCTCCGTCCTCATCCAATCAGGAGCGAGCGAGGATCTCTGTGGAATTGCCCGTGGGAGGGCTGAGACACTCGAACCGGGCGCCACAGAGCAGATGAGCCTGGCCTTTATTGTAGTAATGCGCGCTGCTCTCTATTCACGGTCTGATGTATGGAGAGGAGCTCGTGCCGCGACTGTAGGGCACAGGAGGAAATGTCACTCACTGTCATCGTCGTCGTCATCTTCAGAATATGCAATATATGCAAAACAACTTAATCTTAGTAAAATACATAATTTAGATGGGAAACTGTTTCGTGTGTGTGTCGCCCATGTTACAGTTTAAAGTTTCCATTTCACGCGTGTTTCGTGTAAGTAATAGCGTATACTTAAAAACTACATTTACTATTTACAAGCAGCTCCACAAAGTAGAATTACACATCGCGCGTTATTAATTAGTATGAAACACGAACATGCTAAATAAGTCCAAAGTGCTTCCTGTTTGCAAATCTGGACGTTAGGAGAGATTTGTAATGCCACGCGTCTGTCTGAGGGCAGTATAAATCAGCTGGCTAACGCATGCATAACTCATCAGAAGAAGCCCTCATCTCTCAACACAATAGCCGCGTCTGGCCAGCCGTCACAGGCTTTTTTGCCTTTGAAAAGCAAATTGACCTCTACAGGGATACACGAGCAATCTGGCCAAAAGAGAGACGCGTGCTGGACGCAATCAAAGATGAGCACTGACCTCGAGGTCAAGCCAGGGGTCAGCCATCATTGCATTTCTTCAAACCACCATGACCGGTGACAACTTCAGACACTGAAGCGTTTGCCAGAATGTTTTATTTAACGCTTTCAATTGCAGCCCAAGCTACACATAGTTCCTGGAAATATAATGAACTACAATGGTGGGGGGAACGCAGCTCAGTGAAGATCACTAGTATTCACTTCACTGATGCTATTCAAACTACAAAATGTGTTCGTTTACTTTTAAATAAAATTATCCGTGGTGTATTTGAGTCATAAGCACAGAAAAAAGAGTCAAAGTTAGAAATCAAATACTGAATTCCAAATGATTCCAGTAAGCTACTCTTAGAATAATTTCCAATACATTCGTTTACTATAAATATCAGCAAATGCACAGTATGGAAAGCTCTAACGCAGACTTTAGGTTTAGATCACTGCACTAAAGCATCTTATGTTTACTCTGTGAAACAGTTGCTTTAAATTCTCTTTTGCGCGCATAATTGGACAGACGTGTTGCACGGGTTTGCATTCATCTATTGTTCCTCTCATTAGCATAAAGCTGCAGTAGGCTATGACCGAGTCAAATAATTGCTCAAGCATTGGGATATGCGCCTGCCACCATTCTCCCCTGCAGTTTCACAAATATTACAACACTAGCGGAGTTTAACACCGCACGCGAGACTGAAACGTTCCTAAATTATAACGTGCATAGTTGCGCTGCGCCATCTGAAAGTTCCCAACATCATCTAAAGTTCTGCTTAAATCATGCATCTGCACCCACCTGGATGTGCGCTCATCTAATATTTAACTTAATCTTAAATTCAGACTCTTCCCTCAGTTTCCCTTGATCAGAGCATGTTTTGCTCTGTGTTAACATTCTGTGAAGTTTGTTTGTCTAGGTCTTACCCAGCACAATGCACTTCGATGGCATTTTAATGAGATTGTGTGCGTGCGCACCGGCCGTGTGTGCGCGTGTTTGCTGTGTGGCGCGTGCTTGTCGCGTCTCATTTGCATACAGCTGCTCGGCCGCCGCGCGCCCCTCCCCTACTGGCCACGAGCCCCCTCTCAATACGATCACAGTAAAGACTTACCAACATATCACTCTAAACTCATAACAAGACAAATGTGGGCATCGTAACGAAAGCCATATGTGTTTACAAGCTCGGTGGTTTAATGCCAAAAGTAAAACGTGGACTAGAGCAGGCATTAGTACATCTGTGTGAGCAATAGGTTTGACTAATGTTTGTGTTGTGGAGTTGAAAAAGAATATAAAGTTATTCAAAGAGTTATTGATTTCCTAAACAGACATGCGCACTCTAAACAGTTCAAACTAGTAATCAAATCTAAATGCTTAATTGCTCAGTATTAGGGTTTATTCAGCAATGTGTGGTAAGGGTCATTTGCACTGCTCCTCCTACAGGTTGGCACATGCTACTGCACCAACCACACAAAACACTACATGAGTGTATTGTGTTCTCTAAACCTCCCAGTGTTCATGAAGAACTTTTTAAATCAGAAAAGCGAAATGGTCAGTTTCTGGCTTATGTGAAGACATGTAAGATATTTTGTCGCAAGGATAAGCATAGCATGTTAATCTGTCATGATAAATTGAGAATAAATGCATGCATTTGAGTCAGCGTAGGAATATGATACCCATATTACCAAACGAAACCATGAATGAAACATTTTCTGAAGCAAAGCTAAAAGCATTTGAGCGCTGCACAGCCGGAAAACACTGGGACTCAATGGCTGCTGTCCATGGTTCTGAAAGCAGCCTTTTGCTTCACAAATCCCCTTTATGCTGCAAAAAGGGTGGATTTTTGTAACAATGCAATAGAACCATTCTGGGTTCCCAAAAGAACCTTTCAGTGAACAGTTCTTAAAAGAACAATTTTTATGGTGTGACAAACATTTTAATAATCAGAAGAAACTTTTGTGCACAGCAGAGGTTCCATGGATGTTAAAGGTCCATCGTAGAACCACTGACGCCAATAAAGAACCTTTTTAAAAGTGTAGAACATCCAATGTCTTGACCGCATTGACACTGAATAAAGAGGATGCAAGAAGAGTGTCAAACACTCGCTGGAATGCTCATGCAGCATGCAAGACGCTCACGCAGGCACATAAATAAACCAGGCCGTGTTAAGAATGCTGAATGTTGCATTTCCCAAACAAAGCATTTCCAACATTGACACACAGCTCGTTAGCTGCCATCATTTGCATTCCTGTATAATTGTGCATCACCCTTGATTTGTATATGATCTTCCTTATTAGCCCATATAATGGGGTTAATAAGAGGCAGCTCATTGCACTTATCGTTTCTCTGCCGAGAGGAGGCAAGAACAGAGGCAGGACTTAATTAATTGTATCAGTCTTTTCATCTGCAGCAGTAGTGCTCCCACACGAACATTAATATGATTCTGCAAATGGAGGGAAGTGGTACAGCCTGGGCCAGAGACATAAAAGATTGGACTCAAATTAATTTAGGCCTAATTAGACTGTGGGCGTCAGGGAGTGGTTTGCATAATAAGACCCTGTAAATGAGCTCAGACGCTTAGCTTAAGGCAATGCCTTTACATCTGCCTTAAACTAGACATGACAAAGAGTTTGACCCGGGCTTAGTTAGCGCAGGTCGCTTGACACGGTAGGCTGTGGTGTGGATGATGACACTTTGGAGAATCGGTAAAAGAGATTCCACATCTGCAAGCCGTCTATTGAGATTGTATTCTAGCTCATATCCATAGTAATAAAACATATTAGTCATGCTGAAATCAGGATTATTCTAATATAAAATCAAGACATTAATTCCACCCTGACCTCATGAGATAATGTAACTGTAAATGCATTTTACGATGCAGTGATTTTGCATGAATTCATAAGATGTGAATTGTACAAAAATGCACATTTGTTTCTTTAAAAAGTAAGCATGAAGGTCCACCCGTACATATAACTGTCAATGGGGCATACGCAGATCATACGAAAACCTACGAGTTCATATGAATTAGCCACCTATTCGCCAAAAAGTATAACAGATACAGAATGCAATGCGAGTGTTTTGGTAATTCAGTTGCCTGCGTATATCACTTACACAGTTTAAATCTCCCTGTGTATTTAATTGTTTAACTTACAGCTACACTATGTTAATTTGGTCACACTTTATTTTAAGGTCCAATTCTCACTGTTAGCTAACTATTAACTATGACTTTTGCTTTTTTGTTTTTGTTTTATCCAACTGTATTTACTCAGTGCAACTTATAACATCCAAGTGAAAGATATAACACCAACATGTCAGAAAAAAAAAAAAAAACAGAATCACTGACTTCTGAAAATTGTAAACTCATTTAGGTGTAGCTGATCACTTTCTCAATGGCACAAAACGCCATTTGACTTTCAACTGTGATCAGCTGTGCTCATTTTGATCAGCTCAGCATGAAAAGAGCTTTCCTGAAACATTTCAGTCCTTGGTAGTGCAACTGCAGCAAACAATCAACTATGGGTGGCAAGACACTGTCAAAAGATCTCTGGGATAAAGTTGTGAACAGGCACAAGTCAGGAGATGGATACAAAAAAATTCAAAGGCTTTATCAATGCCTAGAAGCACAGTGAAGTCTATTATTAAGAAG